AGAGCGAATTATATATATGGGGGATGGGGGATTTCATACCCTGTATAGGAACTTGTAAACAGACTAATGCTTTGCTCAAAGAACCGGAAAAAGACAAAGGTGGAGAAGAGAAAGTGATTACTTAATGAAGCAAAAACTTGTTGACAAGAGAAAGTGATTAAATTAAGGTTAAACTTTCATTTTGGTCCCTCAACTATTGTACAAACCTTCGATTTGGTCCCTCAACTCAATAAATTCTTGATTTGATCCCTACTGTTTACCATTTTTACCTCAACTTAGTCCTTCCGTTAAAAAACCAGTGACATGTCCCGTTAATTAACGGCTACAATGACATGTTAAAATAGTATAACACGTCAAATGCACACCTGAAAAAAAAGATTACAACACCACAAAAAAGTGATGACATGGAAAAAAATAATGATATGTCAAAAAAATTAAAAAATTCGTTCTTTTTTTTTTCTTCTCTTTCCCATTCTTTTCCCCTGAAACCCAATGCCTACTGGCTTCGTTGGAACCCAGGCGTCCTCCTTGTTCGACGCTTGGGTTCGAACAACCTTGACATCCTCCTGGGTAACCTAGGACGCCTAGGTTCGTCCAAACCCAAGAGGAAAGAACCTAGGAGGACTTCCTTGGAACCCAAGCATCCTCCTGGTTCAACGCTTGGGTTCGGACAATCCAAGCATCCTCCTAGGTTCCAAGGAAGTCCTCCTGGGTTCCTTCCTTTTATTTTGACATGTCATCATATTTCAGTTAGTTAATGGGACATGTCATTGGTTTTTTAATAGAATGATCAAGTTAGGATAAAAATAGTAAACATTAGGGACTAAATCAAAAAAATTATTGAGTTAAGGGACCAAATCAAAAGTCCATACAATAATTAAGGAACCAAAATGAAGGTTTAACCTTAAACTAATTACATGGTAAGAGCCAAGTGGACTTGATATCGGATCAAGTTTTTTTTTTTTTTGTGCGAATGGGAATGTAGTAATTAATCAGGTCTTATAAAAAAAGTCTATGTACAATATAACCATTACGATTATGAGAAAAATAAAATAATAAAATAGAGTAAAAAAAAAGGAATCTTTTTGTAAGTACGCGTTGCGCGAAACAGGTGATGTTTTAACAAAGAAATACACACTTCAAAAAAAAAAGAAACGATAGCAGACAGAACAAAAAGATAAATAAAGAAAAAGGCAAACTGCTCATGTCTTGGCCATAACCCATAAGGTATCTACTGAAATCAACCTTCATGATGGGTTCAAAGAAGATAAGAAATTGTTATCCCTCTTCC